TAACATCTCCTCTGTGAGACTTGTTGTTACTGTTTTTGGCATATCAAATATGCCACGGGGAGCTTACCAGACTCTGCCGTGCAGGCAGGATACTCTGTAGCTTGCCAGGCTCTCTGAGAGGGACGGAGGAATCAAACGGGGGTCGGCCAGGTGCAGGGCAAACACTCTACCTGCTGTGCTATGGCTCTAGCCGGGGCAGAGACCTGACTTATGGGAAAATCAACCTGCTTTGTTAAGTTCCCTTCTTCTAGAACAGTCAGACCTAAAGCCTGACAGGTTATTTTTTACACAGGTTCTTAAAACTTCATTAGTGAATTAAGTCCACAAAGTTTAAGAAAGAAAGACACTCACATAAATTTTCTCTTGGCTCTCTTCCCAAGCTATTGGCGATGCCTTTCTGTCACCAAGTCTCTTTCAAGCCACATCTTCACCACTTGAAAAGATGGTTTTGCCTCCAAAAGAGCCTTCTCAATGTCACCAGGAACTTCATAATTCTTTCCTCAGCCCTCACTCTACCTGCTGCTCTTTCTACATCATTTAACACAAAGATACGCCAACTTCTTAGTACATTTCTCCAGGCGACCTTCCTTTATCTCTCAAAGACAGGATCCATGCTCTTCTTTGATTTCTGTTGATGATCATCATGGTTACCAGGCTCTTTCTAATGGATTACTCGTTTGTCAGTATCCCAGAAGATACTAACAATTCCTTGAAAACACGTGTCTTCTCTTTTGTTTAGTTTTTGGACTACACACCCAGCGATGCTCAGGGGTTACTCCTGGCTCTGCACTCAGGAATCACTCCTGGAGGTTTCCAGAGATGCATGTGGGCTGGCTGGGATCGAACGTGGGCTGGTCACCTGTAAGGTAGGACCTGTGGCTGCACTATGGCTCCGGCTTCCAACAGCTGCCTTCTTGGCATATTCCCACTGTCTGACACTGCGACTGCTCAATGATAATTCACTCAATAAACAAAGAAGTATTGCCATCCGATCACCACCTGAAAGACCTAAGATTACTGGAGAAACGGATTGTTGGTAAGAAACGCAAAGGACAGGAAATATGCCACAGCATGAGGAGTCATGGACGATCAGAAAGCAGCATAAAAAAAAAGGATGAGTTAACTTGTGAAATCCAACTGGAGAAGCAGCAGAAAGAAAATTAAGACGGCGTTGCACCCTATCCTCATGGGCTTTCCTGATACTCAAGGGCTGAGGGCCTGGCGGGGTTAGAGCTGGGAGAACAGGAGCGGGAGTACTTTGACAGTAAGCAGCAATTCTGAATTTATTATTGAAATATTAGGACTAGCTTTCAAGACCCACCAGTTCCCCACTCACCTCTGCAATCGGGGCCCACCAACAGTTCTTAGACATTAATGTGCATTAGGAACATCTGGAGACTGTGTCAGGGGGCAAGAAATCTCTCCGGAATCCTGATTATGTGGGTCCTATAATTCACTCTCCCAATAACGATTCCAGGGAATCGCAAAGTTTTTGGTCTTTGGGATATATTACTGGAAAGTCCCATTATTCATGATATCATGCATGAGTTCCACCTAAGATAGTATATAATTATCAAATATATTTCTTCGTCAGAGCCTGGCATGCTACCCGTGGCGTACTCGATATGCCAAAAACAGTAACAATGACAGTCCTCATTCCCCTGACCCTGAAAGAGCCCCCAATAGGCCATCAGGCTACAGTAGCACTTGACAGGGACGAATGGAGACGTTACTGGTGCCCGCTCAAGCAAATTGATGAACAACAGGATGACAGTGATACAGTGATTATACATATATATCTTAGGGATTTCTTTAAGTTGAAACTCTTTTAATTTGTAAAATCTTAGCCTGATCCTAAGCCAAGAGGTTTGATAACTAGTATTTTTTTAAAAAAATTTGTCACATCTGGCACTCAGAGTTTATTCCTGATTCTGTGCTCAGGAATCAGACCTTATGGTGCCCGGGGGGACCACATATAGTGCTGGTGATCAAACAGGAGTCAAAAACATGTAAGGAAAGTACCGTAACCTCTGTACTTTCTCTCTGGTCCCAGTACCTAATTTAAAAAAAAAAATATGCATGAGACAGAGTGCTGTCAAATAGCCTGCGGGCATACAACTGTGCATGCGGAACAAGCAGTTTGAGTTTATGCTCTGTCAATTCTACACCCTACATGTGATCTTTCACAAAAACTTCTGGGATACTAGCATCCAGCAGAATTGTTCTTCACAGATATTCCAGTGGCTTTTGGAGATTTCAAAATAATTCGGAAGTATTCTTTAAACGAAGGTTGCAATTATTACAAAAAAGCTTACCATAACCCCTCCTGGTATTACCTTTTATGGGGGGGTACTCACAGGCAGTGCTCAGAGAGCCTGAGGTCTACTACCCAAGATAATTGATGACACTGGGCCAGGCTTTGTGGGCCTGATGGCCAGCACTCAGGTCCCACAATGTGGTACTGCCTGGCCCAGCGGTACTAGAAGCCAACAGTGCTCAGCGGGCCCTCAGTGCCAAGGATCAACTTCAGCTCCTATCCCTGCAAGGAATACATTCCTGTATTCTGAGCCATCTCCCGGCCCCTCCTACTAACTATTAAAAACTGCTTCGTGTTCTTCTCTAGTACTTACCTCTCAGAGACTCATCGTATTTTTTTCACTGACTTATTTTGGCAGTGTTAGGCCTTGAACCCAGCATTTCACAGGTGCAAGATGATCACTCTAAGCCTGAACCAGATTCCCGGCTCCTCTCAGCTGACACCTGAGTCAACAGCTAACACACCGAACTTAAAAACAGTAGCTGAGGTCAGAGAGACAGTACAGCACTCGTCTTGCATGAAGCCAAACCAGATTCGATTCCCTGCACCACACTGGGTTCCCTAAGGCCCACCAGGAGGGATCACTGAGCACAGAGCCGGAATTAAGCCCTGAGCACCACAGAGTATGGACCTAAAACAAGCCAAAAAAAAAAAAAAGTAGTAGCTGGAACAAAATAAATTCTGTACTCTTAACCTACAAATAAAAGACTCAATTTGTTTTAAATTACACCTTACAATTGTGTTCAAAAGGCAAAGACTTGAGAGTTTGATTTATCTTTAACCCCAATGTAATTTATAGTGATAGGCAAAACAATGTGACCAAAAAACCAGGAAGAATCATGTCAGCAAGATCTATTCCACCAAGGTGTTGGCAGCTGGTAAGCACAAACAGAAAAGCAAGTGCAATGGGAAACCCTCGGCAAGTGAATGTGCTGATGCCCAGCTTTGATAAACGACAGACTGTGGCCTCAGAGATAGGACAGGCTTGAGGCCCTTGCCCTGCATGGGACCAAATCTGCTTCAATTCCCCAGCACCGGGTATACAGTTCCCTGACAACCCATCCCCCCAGCCCACAAGGAGTGACCCCTGAGCACAGAGCCATGAGCAAGCCCCAAACATCTACAGTGTGAGCCAAAAACCAACCCAAAATACCCACAGTAGTGTGCTCAAAATGATGTTTTTGCTTAAATGGCTGAGAAAACCAATCTCTAAATACTCTCAGGTGGATATTTTCTGGAAACCACACTGTCACCATGTCACAAACCTGTTATTTCTATCTGTGCTGAATCTCTGAACAGAACCAGGGATGCAGAGGCTGGTCCTTGATCTGTCATTCAAGTCAACTGGAAACTCACCCAACTACTGACTAAGGCACAGGCACTCGACCCTGTCTGGATGAAAGGATCACTGCAAGCACCTCCTTACTAGCTTTTCTGCCTCAGCCCTTGCTCGCTGCAACTGACTCTCCACCCAGCACCCCGGGAATCGTGTGAAAATAGAACGTTGGGTAAGCTACGGTTTCTGCCCCGTCCCTGCCTGGGAGAAGCCAAGCGTCTTAAATGCCCTCCAAGAAACAACCACCTTCAGCCTTCTGCACCTTCAGCCTCCCTGGCTTCCACGCTGGTGCTCGCGTGCATCAGGCAAACTGCAGACCCAGGGCCTTTGCACTTGATGCTGCGCATCCCTGACACTCTGTCCTGAGCACTTCCTCTGGGTCTTCGCTTGAGCACCCAGACGGCTGCCCGCTCCCCAAGCCCATACATGATTTCCTCACCCTCTCTAAGGGTGTCCCCAAGGCGCTGGCCACTGCACAGTCCCGGCCTCGGCTCATCACGGATCCCCCCGCAACCCACTGCCCACTCCCGCGGGGCCGGGGCGCATTCTGGCCTCGGCTCACTGTCCGCTTCGCGGTGCCAAGCACCGTGCCCGGCGCCAGGGAAGACGCGCGATGGGTATTTGCTCAGCGAGACGCCGTGTTACTCCCTCTCCGGGACTCTCGGCTCCAAGCGCACCGGGAGGTGCTGATGGGAGCGGGGCGCAGGCTCCCCGAATCCCGGCTCCGTCTGGGAACTTGCAGACATCATTCTCTTTTGTCTGGGACAACGTCCCCTGCTCTGCCTGGCGGAGCCGGGCAACCCCCGCCTCGTGAGCTTCCGGAAGCAAGGGAGCCGCCGGGTAGGCACGGGTGGGGGCTTTGATTCGGATTCGGAGGTCCCCGAGACGCTGGGTCGCCTCTGCCCGGGGCGACGCGTCTCCCCCCACCCCAGGGCAATAGGCTCTCGGGGGCGGGGGTGCACTTGGCGGGGAGGGGGGCCCGGCAGGGACGCGAAGCCCCGCACCCCCGGTCCTGCACCTTCCGGAGCGCCAACTCGCGGGCAGCCCAAGTTACTTTTTGGGGGGCGGGCACGACCGGCGAGGTGGGCCTGGGCGGGGTGCGCGGTGCCTCCCCCCACCCTCCCCGAGATGCCCGCCGCGCGGGGTCGGGCGGCGCAGGTAGGCGCGGGGGCCCGCGGGGGATGCCGAGCGCCGCCTCCGGGCAGCGGGGCCGGCGCGCGGGGGGCGCGGGGCGGACGCCCCTCGGCCGCCGCCGGGGCGCGGAGTTAGGCCCGGACGGAGCCCCGTGGCCTCCCCGCGGCCCGGCCCGCGCCCCCGGCCCCCGCGGCCGGCGCCCCCCGCGCCTACCTCGAACTCTCTTCAGCGCGATGGGCTCCTTGTCCTGTTCCGCGGACATCACCGACGGCCGGGCATGACTCCCCCCGAGGCCGCGGGAGTCGGGTCTCTCTGCGGCGGCGGCGGCTCCTCCTCCCGCGCGCGGGGCGGCCGCGGCGGCGGCGGCGGCGGCGGCGGCGGCGGGGCGAGCCCGGGGGGCGCGGCGCGGCCGGGGCGCGGGGGGCTCGGGCCGACTTTGCAAAGTTTGGCGGCGGGACGAGGCCTCGGGGCGGCCGGGCGGCGCGCGGGGGCCCGGCGGGGCTCAGCGGCGGCCCCGGGGCGCGCGGCCTGCGGTGCCCCCGGCGGGGCCGGCACGTGCGGGCGCCGGGCGCGCTCCTGCTCGGCCGCCGCCTCGGGAGCCGCGGGGACGGCCCGGCGCGCCCCGACTCGCCGACACAAAAGCCCCCGGCCCGGCGCCGCCCGCCGCCCGCCGCCGGGGCCGAGGGACGTGGCGCGGCTCCGCGGCCCCCCGCCCTGCGCGCCCCGGGTCCCCGCGCACGGGGACGCACTCGGGCCGGGTGGGGACGCGGGGGCCGCCGGCGCCGCCCGCTCCCCGCCGCCGCGCTCGCCTCGGCCCAGCCCCCACGGCCCGCGCGCGCCTCCCGCTCGGCGCCGGGCCCGCGGCCCTCGCGGCCGGGAAGGGCAGCGCGCGCCCAGGGGCCGCCCCGCCCCGCCCCGCGCCCCGCGCCGCCGCCCCCCGCGGGGACGCTCCGCCGCGCGCCCGCCCGCGCCGCGCTCGCTCGGGACTTGGCACCGCGGCCTGGCGCGCGCGGGGCAGGGGCGCGGGGGAAACTTTGCCGGGGGGAGCCGGGGTGCCCGCGTGGGCCCGGACGGACGCGGGCCCCGGGAGGCCGGGTGGCACACCTGTTTGCGGGGCGCCCAGAGCCGAGAGAGCGGCCGTGGGGACCCCTCGCTTCTCGCCGCGTTCGTGGCAGGTGGGCGTCCGGACTGTGTGGCCCGAGGCCAGCTAGGAAACGTCTCTGAGCCTCGTGCTCAATCTGGGCGCCGCAGTGGTGCCACGGCTCGGCGGTCCTGCCTTCGCCCCGCACGCGTCTGGGGTTTACTTTGCAGGAACTCTCAGTGCGTTGGGGCGAGGGTCTGCACTCCGGGGTGGGGGGGGGGCGGTTGCAGACGCCCACTTCAGTCGGGCGAGCCCCGGGGGGTTAGCTGCAAGTCCGGGTCAGGGGGAGGGACTGGGAGCCAGTACCTCGCGGGGAGGGCGTTGACTTTGCACGCGGCCGGCCCGGGTTTGAGCCCCGGCACCCCAGGTGGTCCCCCCAAGCCCCATTCGGTCTCCCAAGCCCGCCAGGAATGAGTCCCGCGTGTAGAGCAGCGGGTGTGCTTCTGCCTCTCCCAACCCAAGCGCTCTGGAGTGCCACGAGGATTGCTGGCGTCCCAACCTTCTTGGGGACCATAGGACGCATTTCCAGAGGGGTCCCAGAGCAGGTCCCCCGCGCGGAACTCTGCTTTCAAAGGATAGACTTCGAACCTAGAACACAAATGCTCAGTTTTATTTTGTTGTTGTTGTTGTTTTCTTTTTCCTGAAAAATTGAAGGAGAAATTGCCGATGAGAAGATTCCACCTAGGCTTGGCAGGGTGCTTCCTCCAGCCAGAAGGTAAACCCCTTCCACGGATCAGGACTTTTTGTCACATCCGCACTTGTCTACTCAGTGTCTCACGATAAATAATTTAGCAACGGCTCAGAAGAGAGATGGGGACCCCGGGGGGCTGCGCCTGCGCTCCTGGCTGACCCGCGCTGGGCCCTGGCCCAGTGAGAGTCCCCTGAGCCCCACCAGGACAGATCCCTGAGCACCGTCGGCTGTGGCCCAGAGGCATTTTTCGGAGGCGTGGACCAACACAGGGAGATTGCTCTCATACAGATGGATGGGCAGAGGTTGGTTTATGGAGCGCAGGCAGATGCCAACTTTTGATAAAGCAAATCGAATCTTATTGCCTCCCAGGGTTAAGAGAGGATGTGGAAACACTTTGGAAATACCAGCCAATAGGGAAACGTGGAGTTTTCATTAAATAACCCTAACTGTAAGGAGAAGAGATGAGGAAAATAAGTGATATTTAGGATTCTTTATGGTGGTCACCTCCCTCCTCGCCCCCCTCCCTTCTGAAGCTAGAGACTGGGAAATAAATAATACATCAGCCTGGGAAGTGAATTTGGTCTCTTTTTAATGATCCGTCAAAAAAATCTTATGGGACATGGATTCTTTTTGCCCCCTTCCGGATGAAACAATATATTTAAAGAGGCAGTCCTGGTTCAAATACAAATAATACCGAAATGAGTGTTATTAATAATTCATAGAAGGTAAGACATCTACAAACTTTGAAACCATTTTTTTTGTGCCCTGGCTGTTCTAACTCCCCATATCAGAACAGATCGCATAAACAATGAGACATTTATTTTCCAGCTCACACATGATTTCCTAAGTCAAATTTACAAGTTTGGAGTTAGGTTTGTCTTTCTTTTTTTACTATTTTGAGATGACATGGATTCTTTTTAGATAATACTTCCTGCCCATCGCCGTTATATTCTAACATTCTAGAACTTCAAATTTCCAGCCCCTCTCCAATTTCCTGAATCACATTTTCTGGGAGTGAAGTCTATAAATGTTTGAAGTGACAAATTGATTCTTTTCTTTTTTGGGGGGTCACACTTGATTGTGCACAGGGCTTTCTCCGGGCTCTACGCTCAGGAATCACTCCTGTCTGGGCTTGGGGGACAATCTGGGGTGCCTGGGACAGAACCCAGGTTGGCCATGCACAAGGCAAGTTGCTCTACCCACTGTCCTATCTCTCTCACTCCTCTCTAAGTGATCCTACAGCCAGGGACATTATATATTACATTCTTTAAAAATTTTTAAATTTAAGTTATAATTTAGGTTTATATGTTTATGGTAATATTGATGTTCATTTGTGTTCTTAGTGACACAGCCACCTACCTCACCCACACCAGAGTGCCTCTGATCTCCCTCTCCCTGGCCTCTGAGTCCTCTGCAGTCTGTTGTTATACTTTTTTATTATTATTTATTATTGTTATTATTATTGGGGCTGGAGCAATAGCACAGTGGTAGGGCATTTGCCTTGCGTGTAGCCGGCCCGGCTGAGCCAGGTTCAATTCCTCCGCCCTTCTCGGAGAGCCCAGCAAGCTACCGAGAGTATCTCGCCTGCACAGCAGAGCCTGGCAAGCTCCCGTGATGGATTCAATATGCCAAACACAGTAACAAGTCTCACAATGTTACTGGGCCCGCTCGAGCAAATCGATGGACGACGGGAGGACAGTGACAGTGATTATTATTATTGGGGCTGGAGCGATAGCACAGTGGTAGGGCATTTGCCTTGCGTGTAGCCGGCCCGGCTGAGCCAGGTTCAATTACTCCGCCCCTCTCGGAGAGCCCGGCAAGCTACTGAGAGTATCTCGCCTGCACTGCAGAGCCTGGCAAGCTACCCATAATGTACTCAATATGCCAAACACAGTAACAACAAGTCTCACGATGGACACGTTACTGGGCCCACTCGAGCAAATCGATGAACAATGGGAAGACAGTGCTACGGTGCTACATTATTATTATTACCAGGGCGAGTGAGAGCCCTCCCCGCCCCAAGGGACCCAGCCCTGGCAGCTGACCTCCACTACCCAGCTGACGCTATGCTCCAGGCTGCTTTCCAGACCACACAGCCGCTTTGAGGCCGCGTGACACATCATAAGACACTTCCTACTCATTTTGCATGATTACCACGCCATGGTCAGTGGAGTTCAGACAGTAGGCAACAAGTCACATATTATGTGTATATATATATATATATATATATATATATATACACATACATATATATGTGATTTGTGCTATCGCTCCAGCCCTATAAATATATAGGGCTGGAGCTCTAGCACAGTGGGTAGGGTGTTTGCCTTGCAAGCAGCCGACACGGCAAACCCAAGTTCGATTCTTCCGCCCCTCTCAGAGAACCGGGCAAGCTACCAAGAGTATCTCACCCGCATGGCAAAGTCTGGCAAGCTACCTGTGACGTATTCGATAAGCCAAACACAATAACAATTGTCACAATGAAGACGTTACTGGGCCCGCTCGAGCAAATCAATGAACAATGGGAGGACAGTGATAGTGACAGTGATAATATATATATACACACACATATATATGCCTCTCGGAGAGCCCAGCAATCTACCAAGAGTATTCTGCCCACATGGGCAGAGCCTGGCAAGCTCCCCATGGTGTATTCAGTATGCCAAAACCAGTAACTATAACAGGTCTCATTCCCCTGACCCTGAAAGAGCCGCCACTCTTTGGGAAAGACGAGTAAGGAGAGGTTGCTAAAATCTCAAGCTGGGACGAACAGAGGCGTTACTGGCGCCTGCTCAAGTAAATTGATGAACAACCGGATGACAGTGATACAGTGATTATTAGGTTTTTAGTCCACACCTGGTGTGATCAGGGGATCATGGATTACATGCCAGGGGTATAACTAAAGTTGACCCCATGCAAGGCAAGCATCTTTACCCCTGTTCTATCTCTCCAGCCCTTTCTGTTGCAGTCTTTATTTTAACTGCAATTATTTTATTTGGGAAACAGGGTCTGAACCCAGGCCTACTTCATACAAAGCATGTGCTTGGACCATTGAGCAATCTTCCTGGCCACTGTGTTTTTTTTTTTTATTTGTTTGTTTTGTTTTGTTTGTTTTCAGTTGAATCACTGTGAGATACACAATTACAAAGCTTTCATGATCCGGTTTCAGTCATACAATGTCCCAACACCCATCCCTCCACCAGTGTTTATTTCCCAGCATCAATATCCCCAATATCCTTCCAGCCTTCTCCCCGCACCACCCCACCCCGCCTGCACTTTTTTTCCTTGTCTCTTTCTCTCTCTACTTTTGGGCATTGTGGTTTGCAATACAGATACTGAGAGGCCATCATATTTGATCCTTTACCCACTTTCAGCACACATCTCCCATCCAGAGCGATCCCTTCCAACCATCTTTGTCATAATGGTCCCTTCTTTATCCCAACTGCCCTTTCCCCCAGCCCTTAAGGCAGGCTTCCAACCATGGACCAATCCTCCTGGCTTGATCACTGTTTA